CCTCACCCTCAGGACGGACAACCTCCTAGGTTCCTTAGATCCTATCAACTCATCAAACAATACCACAGCTGTCACTCCAGCAGCAGCAAACTTTGAACAGATTATTGACTTGGGTCAGACCAAGCTTAGTAATGAGGATGCAGTTAACAGCAACCCTCCTTCACCATTTATAGCATTTGAGCAGAATTTGAACAAGAAGCAGAGTCAGGATAATACAAGCACAGTTCCAGGTATGAATCTGAATTTCCCTCTCTCTTTTGTATTTCTTTTGTTTTCTGCCATGTTCATGTCTTGTATTTTTGAGAAGCCTAGAGCTGATCTTTGAATGATACTAAAAACATACGTAGCTCACAAAATCAGTTGTTACAGTAAATATATATCTTCTTTCCAGATCTGTTGCTGTAAAATCTGCAGTTTTGTTCATATTCTTGTATGCTGCCTGAGTGTGATTATGAGAAACTCCAAATGTGATAGTAGCACTGGACCTTTGAAACTCAGCCTTATGTGGTTGAGAAATTGGAAGGCCTCCCTCCATCACCCAACTCACAAAAGGGGTTAAGGGTTCAGTTCCCAATGCCTCAGCCTCTCGTAGTGTGGCTTTTGTGCGAGTGTGATACAGAGGATCTGTTTAACGTTTCATTATCACTTGGCCTTTCCCCAGTCAAAAAGGAAAATTAGTTGCCTTAATTGGTTTTTATAGTGCCAGCATTTGTGACTTGCTGAATTATAATGTAATACAGTGTGTACATGCAAGTACAAATGCTGATAAAATGCTGGTTATAATCCTCATGTAATGTATCAATAGTCTTCTCAGAGATCTGTCTTTCCAAAGGTTAGTATCCTGTAGTATGAGCCAAAAGATTGCTTTACAGATTTAACAGGCAAGAAGAATATTATGACTGTGTTATAGCAGTGTGTTCTGCTCTCCAAAATAGATATTATCCATATTCTTAATAATTCTATGACAGTAGATTGAATGCAAAATGTGCTAGTTATACTTGTGCTAAAATATATACAGAATAATTGACAGTTGTGTAATATTAACAGTGAAAGAAATATGTATAATATATATAAATATATATCACCTCCATGTTTTAATGTTATAAAGTTGTCCTTACATGGATTAAATTGAGCAAGACCAGTGTTTTATAAAGAAAAAGAATCTGTCATATACTGAATGGGTGCTAGTTGGTGTAGCAGGCTTGCCATGAATAATAATGAAAGAAAATTATATAAGTACAGGTCCCTACAATCTGAAATGAATATAAAAGGCTGCGGTGCATGATAATTGACCAACTTCAATCAGTAGTCATATTGAGAGTGACCTGTTATTTTAGGCTCAGATGATATTTTGGGTGACCTTGGGGGAAAACATTGTTTATCTGTAAGGGTTATGAACCAGTCCATACATAATATACATGTATTGAATTTGGTCTTTTTTAAGTTTTATGAGTACAGTATCTTTTGATTGTGGTAAAGATAACTTTTTGGGCTTGGTGATAACTGACAGGTTATGCTAAATGACCATTCACTAATAAAACCATGTTCTCCACTACATAGGCAATCCCCGCTTGGGAATTCAGCTTCATGGCTGCTACTCACAAGTTATAGTGAAATTGTATTTTAGACTTGTTGATAACCACTAATAGTACTATATTCACCAGCTCTACTCCATTCTACATTTCTATCTATAACAATGTGTTTCTCCATCATTTGCTTTGACAGATACCATGTATAAAGTCATTATCTTGTATTTTTAGGTATTAGGAATTGCTGTATGAAGTCATGTTTTCCCATCTGAGTAATTTTATTTATGTAGATTAAGGTTTTTATATTTGAGTTGCATTTACCCACGGTGCACCAAACTTTAAACAAAAAATTATAAAAACTATAAAAGTTGGCCCACTTGCCTTTGTTATAGTCTCATTTATATTTTATTAAATGCTCAAAGATATCTTTCCCATTTGCTTTTATGTCTTATTCAGTTTCATGTCTAATGGATGTAATTCACAGATACAAGATGGTTACAGTTTCAAAAAGAAAATGAAATCTATATTAGTGGCTTCCTGCCACATCTAACCATGTTTCTTATGCCATTATAAATAACCCAATCCTGTACACTAAAATTCCTTGTATTTGTAAAAGTGCTATATGTGGTATAAAAATCTACCAGTTAATAAAGACAGCCTTTTTTTAAGAATCCTTCAGTTTTTAGGGTGTTATAAGTAGAAATATAACATATTTTACTTGGTAATCTTACATTATTCAGTGTTTAATTATATGGCTAGGAAGCCTGTTAACAGTGGTTGATGCAGTGTACTCAATTAAAGCAAATACTGTGATTTAAAAAAAATGCAAGATGTACAAATCTTTAAAAGATAGCATTCTCAGGAAAATAATGATATATGTAAGACCTCAGAAAGAGGCATATTATTACCAAGAACCCTACAAAAGTAGTTATTATTTGAGTACATTGCTACTTCCAGCCTAATGTATACTTTTCCAATTTTATTTAGAAATATAGTCCATCAATCATTCATAGTAATGTACCAGTGATGTATGCATAAAGTGGCACTTGCAACACATCTGTTGTCACTTGGGCATATATTGTAACTTCCCTTCCTGTGTGACTTTAAGGTTTCATCATGCATTTATAGATATATTTTATACTCAAATATCCACATTATGAAAGAACATTATTTCAGATCAATTTCTATGACAATTATTGGTGAGCTGTTTCACATTCCAGGTTTCCCCACATATCTCAGTTTTATAGATTCATGAAACATCCCCATGTATATGGAAAAAAGTCTCTATGGTACATTTCAATGCTCCTGCCAATGACCCCTCTTGTAGTTGCTTTTAGCAATTATTAATTACTTACCCTCTAATGACTGTATTATTATCCCCATATCTATTCTCTCTAGTGCCTAAAATTTCTATCAATGTTGTTTCATAAAAAATGTATTCAAACATTTGATTTATTTAGAATTTAATTCCTTTCCAGAGTAAACTGCTTTTGGTAAATGTTTGGCCTATTAAGACAAAGTTTTTAATTCTCAGGGCTAAAAAAAAAGTTTTCAAACCATGAGCGATAGCTTACCTAGGTTTTCAATTGTGGTGATAGGAGTCCAAAGCATTTTTTGGGGGGAGGAGGGCCAATTTTATGGGAACTCTGATTATTCATTTGATAGTTGCTTGAGACAGTTTTTATGAATGCACACTGTTAGATTAGTCACTCAACCATAATGAAAAAACATGAACATGTAATGCTTTTATAGAAACAAGGAAACATGTCAGGCCACAGCTAAAAGAAACTGAAAATTAAGAAATTGTGCAATAGTCATGCTCGTTTCATAACAAAGAGATACTAATCCATTCATTATGTTGGCAACTTCTATTATCATTTCTTAAAAATCAGATGCAATTGAGATTTGTGATGTTCTAGCTTCACCCAGGCCTTCTATATATGGCCCGGCCTTAAAAATCAAGAGAATACATATTGCTTTTACAGCTGAACAAAAACAGACAATTTTGTTCTAATTAGTCATTCTTACATATTATGAACTATCATCCTCAGTAGAAAGCAAGTAAAAATTTCTTTATCAGGGACTCAGCATTTTTTTCACTTCAAAAATGCATTGTGCTAGAATGTTGAATGATGTGTTTTAGCAGGTATGCATAGCCAGATGCTCTTGTTGTTGCCAACAAGCACTTGATGACTTATGTTGGCCTGCAGTTAGTTGTGAATTCAATTTGTTAATCACAATGAAAAAATATGCTCATAAAAAAATTTGTGTGCATTCCTATGGCTTAAATGAACAGGAGAATATGCATATACATATTTAATTAACATTAAGTTTTTTCAAATTTATTGACGTGTACAAATAAAATTTGATGATGATACCTTAACTAAGTGCTTACCTTACTGCTAATTTTACACTGCAAGAATGAAATGCTTGTTGAATCCTAATGTGAGGATGAAGGCCAATTAAATTATATCAGAAGGTATTATAATTAATTTTGATTTGAAATAAAGTCCAAACTGTTTACCTCCTTAATTTGGAATAGGCATTAAGGAGGTATAATGATTAACCTCAAATATCATGTACATAAAATAAAAGAACAGAGAGAAAAGAGAAAAAGCTAGATAGATAAACACATACATACTGAGAAAGATATGTACAGTGAGAAAAACAAACTAATATGTAAAATTGAGAAAGTGGTGTGGAATAGCGAACCAATTTAGTGGGCACTAATCTGGTGTTAACAGAAAGAAGTGTTCAGCTCCTCATTGACCACAAATAAAGGTAACAATATATTTTTTTCTGACTGTACATCATACACATACATAGACTGATGGATAGGTAGACAGATAAGCAAACACAGATAGATATAAAAAAAATGTGGCACCTACTAGTTCAAAAACCAACAGTACTGTAACCAACATGTGACATAAACAGTAACACAAATAATCTATCCTACGTATCTTTACTAAGCTCTGCTTAAGGAATCAAACTTAATCTTAACTAGACCAAAATGTGAATTGTCACAAAAAGGTTATTTTACTGGATTACCTGCCTGTAATATTATTTCAATTCTGCCTGTCAACTAACCTTCGCACGTTTACTGATATGAGTTTGAAATGAAGACAATGGATATAAATTGGTTGAAAACTGAACTAAAAGGTGCTATGTTCTGGATGGTTTGGTAACTCACCACCAAGAAATGGAAAATCTACAGCTCTTCTTATACTTACAAAATGATCATGATATAAGCAGCTACTTGTGGAATGATTTCTGAAGTTAAAAAAGTAAAAACTTGCTTGACAAGTTTAAAGTTACTGGGATTTTTTTTTTTTTTTTTACTTCTCCACTTAGTATATCAATATGCTGCATTCTGATTTAAAACTAACTTCATGTTTATTTGTCATCATATTACTGTTCCTAAAATGTTACTCTATATGGAGTGGCAAAGTGTGGAGTGTGAGAGTTTACAAGTACTCTAGCCTATTCCTCATTTATTCCTTCTACCAGTGGGATGATAGTACAGAAATAAAGATATCTGCACTGATATCCAATGACCTTTAATTTGCTCAGCCCCCCTAATCCTGTGCCCATTGTTATTGTGGGGGTGTTGAGGCTTAATGTTAGAGATCGCCACTACCATGGGCCTTGCACTCCGCTCAACCAATTTTGCATGTTCTTTTATTCTCCCCCTTTCCTTTTCCATACCTTCTACAGTCCCCTTCCCTGTCCAATTCCTGATATGTGAGAACTGTATTGAAAGGATGAAAGGCTGACACCCTCAGGAAGCCATGAGCACTTTATTCCCTTGGTTAATTGCCTAGCCCTTACTCTTGTTGACCCTGAAGGGTGGACTGTTTATCTTCCTCACAAACTGCAGGCTTACCATGGCCAATAATGAAGATTTTGTACCCTTATTAGGGGCATTAAAGCTTGTCCTTTTATTAGCTAGCCTCCCTGAATCTAACTTCTTTGGCTTGCTGATCCTTACTCTCCTCTGATCCCAGCTCCAACCACTGCTACTGCAACCCCCTCTTTGACACTTGCTGTCAACTTAACCCATCCCGAATTATCTAACCAAATTATAATTCAATCCCAACATGCTCCACGCCATCTCCTGCACAATTGTCATCATTTTCTAAACCCTCTTCCCGTTTTACTACTCATCGTTGTTATGGTGATCCTCCCCGCAGTACTTCACAATATGTCGCTCCCTCTTCCTCCGGTCCTCGTCTCCCTGCCATTCCCACTCCTACAAACCTTTTGACTACCCTTATTAAATTAGCCAAGAGGGATCAATTTTTTGTGTGATTCCCCCAACAATCATTCTCCCCTGTACCAACAATACCTCAAAACACAAGCAGGCAAATTTTCCTTCCACAGTCCTCCCAATTATTCATGCCTTGTCACAGTTACATCTTAGTCCCAAGCCCATACTATCTGCCCTGATTGACCTCACTAGTAAACCTGCTTCTACTCAACCCCATTCCTCCCTTAATACTTGTACTGGAACTGTCTCCCAAGCTGATTGCCCTGTCTACAGCAAGGATTGGTTAGATTGTGAAGATGACCTACATGACTGCCTCATTGACTATGATGCGTAATCAATACAGTGCTACACAATTTCTCTCAGAGGCCACTATAAGGCCTACATCAATATTGCCAAGATTATCTTCCACAGATGAGCTCCCCCATGAGAATCTTGCCCTGTCAGACCATATCGACCCCTACCCCGTTGGCGTTTTGACCATCCCACAAACCACCATCGCTCCATAGCCCGTTGCCTCTATGTGCCTCTATGTCACGACCATTCAAATTGTCCTGCACAATTATGTACAACTGTACAATTGTTGTGCCTCCCATAATGTATTTTATAGGAACTGCCCTGATTACAAGTTTGAGTCTGAGGTAGCAGTTCTCACATACAATATTCACAACTCCCCCTGTGTTTGCCTCTACTCTTCACCTTACCCATCATACCAGACTATCTAAACATTTCACCCAGTCTTCTCCTACCACATCCTCTCCTGAAGCTACATCTACTCCTCTGATGTCAATCTCTTCTTCACCTCCTCAAAAAAACTCCAACTCATTTCCCACCTCCCCACCCAAATCCCCTCCAGAAATCCTTGAGGACATCCAAAACTTCCCCATGACTCTCTCATCCATTCCCTCCCTCCCTCTCTCTCTCTCTGTCTCTGTATCTCTCTCTCTCTCTCTCTCTCTCTCTCTCTCTCTCTCTCTCTCTCTCTCTCTCTCTCTCTCTCTCTCTCTCTCTCTCTCTCTCTCTCTCTAACACATCCCATCCTCCCCTCCACCTTTACCAATCCCACTTACCTTCCACTCCCTCCTGGATGCTCACATGAATCCCTTTGTCATAACAGTGTCCTTCCCCGAATCCTTCCTCTGTTGATGAACCTGATACTACACCTCCTTCCCCTTCCTCCTACTTCTCTGACACCCATAATGACTCATAATGGCTCTTCTGCAGAGGAATATTCAAGGTTTTCAATTTCTCACAGGCTTGAACCTATAACCTATCCATTGTCTGTCTCCTAAAGACTTTCCTCACACATCCTCCAGTACTGATTCCCAATTATCATTTTGTATCATCCCCTCACTCTCTATATCCTCTATACTTGTCCCTCAAAACAC